CGGAGGTTTCACAAGAATAATCAAAAAGTAAATACAGAAAACTCAAATAAAATGTCAATTCTTCCGAATGTACAATTATTTCTAATGTTAGGGCACACTTTTAGGGTGAAACAATACTCTTTAGGACCACACAAACACAGTAGTGGCACCCTATACAAACACAGAATGACTGTCAGCATTTCCATCATATGAATTAAACAATGCTTCATGGAAATCAAATATAATGTACAAATTACATTATATATGCAATTCAGATACGTTATGCACTTAGACATCACATTTAACACTTACTGAATTCTGTTTAACTGAGAATCCGTAACACTTGTCACATGCAATGTCCCAAAATCTCCGTTCATCCCAATCCCTAACCATAAAATACACATTGTACATGCACGGGATGAAACAAACACATTGTATCACAGCAGATTAAATGATATCATCACATGTACGCACATAAATAATGGATTTAACCTAGGATGATACACTATTGTCTTTGTCTCTGATGCACTGCTTAAATGGTCTGGCTCTCTATCGCACTCTTAGCGCGTCATCATTAGCAGCCGCTCTCTTAAAGGGGAAGTACACTCTTTGCGTGCCACACACTCTAATACCACCCGGTTACATATGTCTCTATTTGTTTCTCTGTTTCTGCTGGGATTAACATCCCGTGGTAACTAGGATTTACACAAGCTTCAGTCTGGATCCAGAACACCTGAGAAGAGATGATGGCAACCCCTCAGAGGACCTCAGATGATGCCAATCCTGAAACAACATACAGAACTACCACATTTTGCTATAAGTTTGATTACATCATATAATAATTGCTGTTCATCGTCTGTTTTATTACGTCTTTAATTGATTTTTCCGTACATTCCTGCCATATGTACATTAACTGACAGTCACCACTGATAAGCTACCACTAAATATTGTAGAAACTTAATTTGCTGTAAAGTTGCTTTGCAATGATTTGTATCGTGAAAAGCGCTATACTAATAAACTTGAATTGAATTGAATACCTCCTGTAAATGATGTACGGTTACAGTGACATTACAGTACCTTTACATACAACCTTTAGAAAATACAACTGAAAACTAATACCATATGAATCATATGTAACCTGATTTCGTCTTGTTTACGACATGCAAATCCTTAGTGTAAATGTGTTATTCAAAGTGGTTTAAGCATTAGATGTCATGTATACTATTACTGATAGAGGCACCTGGTGGCCAAGGTTGTTACCACATACTAATAATAGCTAGTCATATTTTTCTCACTTGTGTTGCTCTCACAGAGAGAGAAAAAAAAGTTTTGAAAATAGGGAAGTTTTTTGAAGAAAGAAATATTGAAAGGGGAAAAAAGGTTTTGAAGAGAAACAAGTTTTAAAGATAGAAAAAAAAGTTTTTTGAAGAAATAAACGTTTTGAAAAGAGAGAAAAAAAAGTTTTTTGAAAAAAGAAAAAGGTTTTAAAGAGAGAAAATAAGAGAAAGAGTTGTTGTCTTCAGACATAGGCTGAGGAATGATCCAAGACAATATACCCCCCCGTTTTTCCTCCATGCTGCAGTTCAGGGCTTCCGTAATTTACTAAATGTCAGATCTACTCTAGATATCTCTTATATCATTCAAAGGTCATTCAAAGTGTCTTAAATAGCTGAAAATCATGATTTCTTGTTGTCTGAATTAGTCAGTGCATTTTTTCCATCATGTACCATTGTGTAATCAAAATATTTTATTAGGGGCCCGATACTGGTCTCCTGTACTCGTACTCGTACACGTTAAAATGCCCCGATACCAAACGCCGATACCACACAGCATTTGATAAGTGCCATATTCAGACAAAGAAACACTAACAACAGAACAACAGACAGCAGAATGGAGTTATTAGAGATAACGAAGTATATGTATGCAATGAATATAATGTTAAACATTCAGTATTAACGCCTGTATAGCTGATGTGTGCGAGCTGATAAACAAATTGAGCGCTCGTGAGTGGATTGAGCCCGCGGCAGCGCAGATGTGCGAGTTTGTCGAGATATACTGTTTGATCTGTTACCGTACCATACTTTGCCTTTAAATTAGTGGAATTATCTCCCACAGCTATGTAAGATACAGGAAATTATGTCACGTTCCCTCACTGTTAAGATCTGAAGCACTAAAAAGTCTATGTGCTCTCTCTAAGAAAATATTTGAATCTAAAAGTTCTTACAGCAAGAGTTATTTTATAAAGTGTCAAATCTGTTACCACAATATCAAAAGGAAAACAAATTTTTTTCATTGATCACAATTTGTGTTATTTAAAAGTCTTTTAATCATGATTTCATTAGTGCCATGTGCTCTTAGCATTTATGCTAGCAATTGGAGTTTTTGGCAACAAATAAAGAAAATGGTCAATTCTGTTACTGGCAAACTCTGTTACCAAGGTAGAGCAACAATGCTGACAATGCGGTAACAGAATTGACAGTCTATCGGACAATTGTCAATTCTGTTAATTTTACAATTCTGTTACTAAAGGGTCAACTCTGTTTATGAACTATTTTCACAAAAAAACAATACATTTGTTGTTTAAAATCCTAATAAACATCACTTTTAGCTTCAGCCAGTCCCAGTCACTCCAGACCACCATATTTAACCCTCTACGAAAAGTGTTTCTTATGCCCCATGTTCAGTACATGTTTTTAAAAATGATTTCAACCAATTACATTTTTGAAAAGTATCAAAGAACAGTCCAATAAGTAGTGGGAGTCACTATCAAGCACCATTTGAAGGCGGGACGTCCTGTTCTGACACATGGTCACAGGAGCACATGGTGTGAGAAGAAGGCAAGATTATTTGCTTTAGTAATCTTATTTAAAATGACATGAACTGTACATCAAAAGGTGTAGAGAAGACTTTTGTCAGGTTTCATGATTTTTTACTTTTTTTTATTTTGCATGTTCAGAAATTCAGTTTTTCTTGTTGTGCGATAAGAGGTAAGGAAGCAGGGGTCCATGGCTCCCATCCCTAACCAGGATTTCCCATTGACAATACATACGGGCACATAATGTGTGACAAAAAGGGAAGATGCAAGGGTCCTGGGTGTATAGGAACACCCAAGGTGATGTGCAAAAATTGTAACATGCACCTCTGTTTCACAGCAGAGAAGAAGCGCTTCTTGAAGTTTAACACGGAGTAAAATCTCATTCCATGAACTACACATGATATGACACGACACACTACATCAGGGCTGGGAAACTTCGGTCCTGGAGGGCCACTTTCCTGCAGAGTTAGCTCCAACCCTAATCAAACACATTAGAACCAGCTAATGACTGTATTTTAGGGCCTGTTTACACCTGGTCATTTCATACGTTTTCGCTGATCGCATATCTATCTGATTTGTTAAAACGTTTCCATTTACACTTGGCCACATAAATGTGTTATTATTTTAACATTCTGGGAGGAGTAAAATGTACATATGTGGTTTCAACAACCAGATGCATTTACACTTGTCCAGTTTCGTCTGGAATGCGGCCCAGACCACCTCCTGAAGTTTGGATTGTATGTCTTGTATGTCTTGCAGTTTCGAATCTCTCTTCATTATTGTTAATTATTTTATTCTAGTGGTTTCTCGCCATGGCAACTATCGATGCTCACAATCATTGCTTGTCACTGAATAAATAAATAAATACACACCTATTTGAACTTAGGTTAAGTTGTAAGTATAATCAAATTGTCTGTACAAATCATTTCAACACTTTTTTATATATAAATATTGTCTAGATGAATCTCATTTAACTTAAAATTAAGTGGAAATTAGTAAATTATCATGAGTTAAAGTAATGGAAAAAAACATGCTGACTTATTGATCATATCATATTTTACAGCGTATCATGTAATATTTTATCATTTATAATACAACTTGCTTGCTTTTCATAGCATCAGTAAATATGCTGCTGCTTACATCTAGTGGTGAGAAACATTAGCATTCCAAACATTATGTGTGAATTAATATTAAGAACTGTATTTAATTTATGGACTTAGCAGTCCTCTGACACTTTATGAAGTTATATTAGGCCACACCTAATATTACACCTACACCTGATACAAGTTAACGAATATTTTTCGTAAATGAAATTAACACTGGTTGGACCTTACAATGTAGTACTTCCTGAAGATCCAATCATTTTCAGTTTTCACATGCAACTTTATTGTGGTCAACATTGAGGAACAGAGAATATTTGAGACTGTAAATGAAGAGCATCAAAGCAAATAATCAAATATATGCATATTTCTTTGAATAATTTACTGCAAAATCAACATTCCTTCTCTGTTTTCTGGTGTTTGTATGAACACATTCACTTGGCACAGCTTCCTTCAGCATCACTTCCTTTTTGTGCGGTTCAGACCACAGCAGCGTCATGTCAGAAAACCCTCGTTCCACCAAAGCAGACTGAAGCTGAAATGAGCAGATATTTTTAAACTGGTTTCAATGTGATTTGGTTTCAGATTTCTGTATGTTTCCCTCTCTCACCTGTGACAAGAGCTGGAGGATCAGACTCAAACTTCAGTTTCATCTTCACACGAGTCTTCGAGGATCTTCACACGAGGATCTAAAAGGGCACATGAGCGTAAACATAGAAAGGAAAAGAAAACGCTGAATGCAAATAATAAAAACATAAAATGCATTGTGACCACAGTATCTACAGCAATTTTGTGCAAATGCATCTGTCAGTTAAGATTAAACGGATGCAGTGAGAGGTTGTGTAGTGATCCTCAAAAATCATGCACAAAACTATGCCAAGTAAAAAATAAAAAAAACACCTAGATGACATTAAATACAGGTCCACTTGCAATAAGGATGGACATGGTTTAATGTCAAACACAAATGCATTTTATGTAGTAAATTATTGAAAGCTGAGAGCATGCAACATATTTCACATTTTCAAATACCATAAATTGCCAAATTTCTACTATTGTGAAGCCGTTATTGTTTTCCTAAAACACTAAATCTGCTTGTTTGATCCCACCTTCTCCATACACCTCCACCTCACACAGAGTAAGATACTTTGAATCTCCAGGAATGAAAAGATTCACATATCGACCCTCCATACCATTACATGTGTAGGTGGAGGAAACACCAGCTGGAATGCTAGAAATCACAGCGCATCTAAAGAGAGACAGAGAAAACATAATTTAGTCTTATAGTCTTTCGCCATATGTGATTTCAGGGATTATTTATGGATATTAAGCCACTGAAAGAGGGTCTCACGTGGGATTGTTGTTGCCGTTGTTCTCCAAAGAGTTTCCGATGCGAATCTCCGCTCCGTTTATTCGTTCTGGACAGCAGTCTAGTCTGTTTGTGATGACGACTCTATTAACTCTGTACACAGAACTCAGATCCACTCTCCACCATGGGTTAGTCTGATTATCGGTTGAGGAACACGATGACCACGACTTTCTGAAACCAGGATTGGAATCAATGGCCTGTTCAGCAGACCAGAGGCCATAGGTTGATGACTGTGTGACGTTTTTTCCTGTTGCCAAATTACCTGGAAGATGTCATAGTGTCAAGAAATGGTTTTAAATCAGCATATTTTATTTTTGTATCAGAACTAACGGCAGCTGCAGTGACGTGTTGACTTTACCATTTGGTGATTGGCTCTTTTATTTAGAAACAGTGTTGCCAGATTGGAAATGTCCAGGTATCATACTAGAAGCTCAAAATGATCGTATTTGGAAGAAAATTATCGTATACGAGTCAAACGTACAGATTACAGCTATTTATCTAAACCAACAACCTTTTGACATGACCTGCAAATTACCATAATAGATAACTAGGCGTACCGTGGATGCGAGCGGTGCGACAATATACTATAGAACCCTAATCAGCGACTCTATCTGCACTGGATAGAGCGTGAGATAGAGCGCAGCGTGACGTGACACATCCCCGACAGTAAACTGATGCCTCGTTCTGTTAAAATTATTTTTAACACTCGCTTTGTCGCAGACTTCAGCTGTTGCGGTGCGGCACAACGGTTAACTCTACCTCTGAGTCGCTGTCATCGGAAGCCTGCATGTTGCCAGATGTTGAGGGGGTTCTTGCCATCATGGACTGCAACATAGTGCTCGTTGGCTTTAAAGCAGGGCACCCTCCTGCATTCTTAACACACTCGGTTAAATTTAGAGTGTCTATAATGAGCCAATTTCGTGTATGAGTATAGAAGCCATATGATTACAACTACCATCATTTGAAGTGTCACAAAATTCAGAAATTATCGTTCACTATGGGATTTTTTTCATTATTGACTGTACATCGATCGTAGGTCAAAATTATCGTAGAAATACGATAATTATCATACGTCTGGCAACACTTTTTAGAAGGCAGGACTCATTCCACCAAAATGTGCATTTTGCTTGCTCCCATTCATTATAATATTTGAGCAAGGTCTGGGTATGCCTAAAGCCTTTGGATCTGATCATGACTAGAATTATGCCTAAAAAACTCAAATTCACCTGGTAAGGGTTTAGACCAGG